CCAGAATATATATATATATAAATACATATTATGGTTTATTCTATAACATCACGTGTATATAATATACCCATGGTTTATTCTTCAGATATGGGTGGATGCTGCATCACAGATTCTGTTCACATTAGCAATTGGTATCGCATCACTTATATCACTTGGTAGCTATAACAAATATCACAATAACACAGTCATGTAAGTGCAATCAATAGCTCAACTCAGCCTTTCTAACGAATGAATGTGAAATAATGTTCTTCGTAATTATTATTATATATATATTTAGTCATATAACTAATTTACATTACAATTGGACACATGATAGGTCATGCACTCATGCATGTACAATATTCAATTCACTGTTAATTATAAAATAATGTTATTTCTGTTACAGAGATTCAACGATAGTTTGTGTAGTAAACTGCTTAACTAGTTTTTATTGTGGGTTTATGATATTTGCCACACTTGGTTTTATGGCATATGTACAGGGTGTTGAGGTGGATGAAGTTGTTGATTCGGGTAAGAATTGCAAACATTTGCTAATTATACGTCAACGCTTATCTACTTTTGATTTAAGAGACACATGAAGTTAAATGGAAGGAACAAGTTAATGCTCCCGGAGTAGCAATTGAGTTACTAAAGGAATATAGTATATATGAATGGGTGAAATAAACTTCAATAATGTCTAATGTCAATTTCTCAATTTTTTTGTCAATTTCTCAAATTTTACAAACAAGCGAAGAGACATTAACTACATTCCCGATTGTACTGATTTAAATTTTATTACATGTTAAATTTCAGGTCCTGGTTTAACCTTCATAACAGTGCCAACGGCCATAGCAGAAATGCCTGGTGCCAACTTCTGGGCAGTGCTATTCTTTTTTATGTTATTCCTTATGGGCATGGATAGTCAGGTATGACACGTGATAAACAACGTCATGAATCGCACTTAGCTCTAGATTCCACAATCATCTGATTTTAATTGTTTACTTGTATTGTTTGTTGACCGACAGACATGCAGACACACAGAGAGAATGAATGCAAAACTAGTTTCCTTTATAAGTTAACCCGATGTCATGCTTGCATATATGACATACGGATTAGCTGTGCTGTGCTATGGTATCACTTGATATTATTATACTTTCAGTTCTGTGTGGTGGAAGGTTTATATACGGCACTTGCTGACGAATATCCCAAATATCTGAGGGCAAATCGAGCACTGAGTCTGGCTATATTAGCATTCGTGTATTTTCTCTTGGGATTGCCGTGTTGCACCAATGTAAGTAACTGTGTATATCTAAGTCCTATAAATATAAACTATCGACTAGACAAACCATGGATATAATAGTATTTGACAAAAGAACCATCGCCCGTATTGTTGGAATGTGTCATATTTCCAAAAAACCAAACCAAATAAATAAAATGTCGTCTTAGTCACTGTATTGTCCTAACTAATGATCAAACGTAAATCTGCAATATATTAGTTATCTGAGCTCTGCTATAACAAGCCAAGCGACTCCTATAAGATGAACACGTGATTACACGGTTCAAGCACAGTGTCACGACACAAGGATGAATTTAATAGCGTTTCCTACATCTTTTTTGTAGGCAGGAATGTATTTCTTCGAATTGATGAATACATTGGGTGCTGCTGGTTACGTGCTATTATGGATGGCCATGTGGGAGTGTATCGCTATATGCTATTTCTATGGCATCAAGAAATTTATGCTTGGATTGACGGATATGTTACAACGTAAACCGAGCTATGCTTGGGCTGTCTCTTGGGCCTTTGTTATACCAGTTACACTTATTGTGAGTATACTAGTCCACATCAATAATTAAACGTTACGTTAGTCTGAGTTACAGTGTCGCACACTTTGCATACGAGTCCCATACAACGCGTGTGTACTGTGCACTGTTTGATTACACGGAAAGTGCTAAGCGACGATTATTATGTGAAATTTCCCAGCTACATTGTCGAACTCCACAAGTCAAACTAGTAATTTTGCTTACAGTTTTCTGTTAATATAATAGAAGAGCTCTGAGATGCTTACCCAATATTAAACATTATACTTTGCATACCTCCCACAGATCATCCAGGTATTCAGCCTTGTTGGGTGGGATGGCATGTATTACGGTGACTACTATAGATATCCAGTTTGGGGCGAGGTGTTAGGCTGGCTGATGGCGGCAGCATCCATGCATTGGATAGTTACGTACTTTATCTACTCTCTAATAGTTACACCGGGAACTTTGAAAGAGGTAAATACGAAATGTAACCTACATTATTATACATCTGTGTTCGTAACGCCATAAGTTACAGCGTGCCGTAATTTTGCGGTATTTTACGGGGTATTTTCATTGTACCTTATTAGGAAAATATGGAATGATTACGCGCGTAAGTGTCCTCTAATAATAAAAACAAACATGGCTGCCACCAGGGTTTGACCGGACTCCACACAAAGAAGTTCGCTGATTCTGTTTTAAACTTTCGGCATTCTTATGTTGTATCCTTGGAAGGAAACAATGTGTAATAATAAGGTTATTATGAGGATATCTCAAAGTATGCATTCAGACAGTACGCCGTCGCATCGACCTCCACTGCGCGTCGGTCGATACTCTCGCAATAATCTCATATCATATTATGTTATGTATGCCAATACTACTGTAATCTGGCTTATAGTGTAAGTACAACTTAGGTTGTATTATATTACGTAATGTTCCACGCATGTAAGTTATATTCTATTATAGTGTATTGTAATACATTTGTAAATTTATCTTTCTTTGTACCATAGCGTTGGTATACAGTTAATCACCCAGCACCATACATCAAACTCCGTGGTTTGGACGACGGTGATGAACATGATGGTATTGAAAAAGACAATGATGACGACATAGATTCCGACAGCCCAAACGGAAGTAACAACAGCGTACCTCCGTGTTACGAAAACGCAATGGTAGTGGAAATGTCTGACATGTGATCACGTGTAGTGCCGTTTGGCGTATCTCTGGAATGAAAGAATCCTTGTATATATGCACGCACTGCCAGAATATTAGTTTGCTGCAAATGGTGCCCTCTACAACAAAAGTACAATTTGATGGTGGGATAATCAGTATCGCGTCATAAATTTGTATCAAAGTGCGTATGACGTCATTACAATGCCATAGTTTGAAATCATTGAGATGCACTAGAATTTCAGTGAACTTGAAAACTGACGTCACTCTGAACACTAGCGTTCAGATTATTAATACTTGTGTATACTTGTATTTATTATTTATCTAACAAATATATTGCCAAAGTACATTATTGAACATGAAAGTACCTCAAACATGAAATGTTGTTATTTCAATAAGTCATCAATAATGTCTGATACAAAGCCAACATTTTCATTATTACTGAGATTTCTGAGGCTGATCTGAGGTCTATGTAAAATTATAACTTCAAAACTCAGTAAGGAATATTTCGTGCTACGTAACACCATCTGAAATACTAATGCGTTCATTTATTTATGAAACGCAAAAATAACTTCCACCATTGGCCATTTTGACTGTTAACAATTTACATGATAATGTCCAATTGTTAAAATCAATGAGTGGTACGTTTCCTGTTAAAATATTGCTATTGTTAGAAAGCACAACGGTTGTTGGCTAATGATATTTTCTAGAATCTAACCTAATTTCAATTGATGGGTCAGCGGTAAGTAATCACAATTAAGATTTTAGATCTGATTCTCGAAGTTATTCCTGTGGTGGCGACATTTAGTTTTCAACATTAGGATTTTGAAATGAACATAGAAAATCTAAATCCCATTTTCATTTTGGAGCGTTTCATTTTATTGAAGCACTGCACGAGTAGGCCCTTTCGGTTATTTGTATCTTTTCAGTCGACCGCAAGCCCAACAACAAAGGGTAACAGATGAAAGACAGGCACAAACAATGAGCAGATTTAGAGGGGACCGAGGGGGCCGCGGCCCCCCTATTTTTAACAACCAACAGGGCTTCGCGCCATCGGCGCTCGCGAACTCGGCCTTCGGCCAACTTATCGGCCCCCGTATTCCAGAATCCTAGATCCGCCCCTGCAAACTGCAATGTTACCAGCTAGTTAACACAAACAAATAACGCCCACTTTCAGCCCAAACACTTCATCTAAAAATTCGAAACGGATGGACAAAAAATAAACTATCAACTAAGATTCGCCAAGTTATACAAAATATACCATTACATTGCTTCAAAATATAACCACGTACCAGAAAATAACTCAGACGCCCAAACGTTATTCTGACTAATACTTTTTAGATAAACAACTAAAATTCGTTACAGACAATGAAAAATACCCCTTCTATAGTGTACATTGCAGATCATCCCGAGGTTATCATGTAAACGGAGTATGGGAACATAACTGACTTGAAACATTATTGATTCCACTTGCCTTTGTTCTATCATTATTAGTTGGGCTCGGGGCCACCAACTCGATGTTAAAATACCTGCAAAATAAAATAAGTCTCAAATTGAAAATAAGATTTTGATTGGTAAATTGTTAAATTGTTGATTGATTACTTAACTCTATTCATCAATTAAAATTACGCCAAAACTGAAAATGTTTGATTCTAGAAATTCACTTAGCCATTAGCCACGCATCAGACCATCGTGTCATTTTAGAATTAATTTAATATTTACTTTTATCTACATTGCATACATGTACAGTTCAGTTTTATAATCTGTTAATATAAATAATTTACATTCTAAACAAATCAATTTGGTCTCGATAGAAAGTAATACGGTTACTGATCGGATTTTGTACATTATTGTAAAATTGTAAATTCTGCACATTAAAATAAAAGATAAATGGTAAATAGCTTTGTTATATTTTTATGTTGCCTATGCTGACAAGTGTTATGCCGTGTACGATCCGTTTAGTCTGGTAGTTTAACTTCACACCTGCATACAAGTTCAACGCCATAGCAAAGAACAAAACTGTAGCGAATTTAAAAGTAAGTTTCTTTGCAGGCTTTTCGTTTGAATGACTGTAAAAGTTGTCTAGACATGAAGACTGACTTATTATAAATACCTCCATCGAAGTATGATCAAATAAAAAAAAGAACTTTTATAAAATATGACTTTGAACTATTCGAGCAGAAATCGTAATCATAGTGTGCATACACACTTTATTAAAAAACCTTTTTTTCACTATTTTCAACCCTTGTTTGATTACCCACCTTAAGTTTATATGCAACTGTTATGACCCCTCACCAAACTTTCAATATTTTCTTATTCTACTTGTTCTGCTACTTTTCCTGCTTGTTGAATTAATATCGATAGTATACTACCATGCTATTTATATTTATCAGGGTTTACTGTAGAATGCAGTAAACAGAGAGCACCAACAAAATTAATTTTATTTCACAACTTTTTCAAAGGGCATTTTTTAACGTTTGTGCTGATTATGATTTGCACAATGACGAATATATAAATGAGATAAGAGCAGGAAGCCTGTGAGCTATTCAATTGGTGCGAGTCAGTTCGGTTCATATTCACGAGGAGTGTCGCAAAACACAAATGTTACAGCAGCAACTATACAAGTCATAATCAATATGGTGGCACGTGTCAGTTAATACAATACATCAATATGGTGGCACGTGTCAGTTAATACAATACAGCAATATGGTGGCACGTGTCAGTTAATACAATACAGCAATATGGTTGCACGTGTCAGTTAATACAATACAGCAATATGGTGGCACGTGTCAGTTAATACAATACAGCAATATGGTGGCACGTGTCAGTTAATACAATACAGTTGGGCAACGTTTCTATCTAACATAAAGGTGGAACAAATACTATTGCCTAGAGTGGTATTCAGACCCATTGTTGTATATTACAATTAGATACTATTGTCTAGAGTGGTATTCAGACCCATTGTTGTATATTACAATTAGATACTATTGTCTAGAGTGGTATTCAGACCCATTGTTGTATATTACAATTACATACTATTGTCTAGAGTGGTATTCAGACCCATTGTTGTATATTACAATTAGATACTATTGCCTAGAGTGATATTCAGACCCATTGTTGTATATTACAATTACATACTATTGCCTAGAGTGGTATTCAGACCCATTGTTGTATATTACAATTAGATACTATTGTCTAGAGTGGTATTCAGACCCATTGTTGTATATTACAATTAGATACTATTGCCTAGAGTGATATTCAGACCCATTGTTGTATATTACAATTACATACTATTGTCTAGAGTGGTATTCAGACCCATTGTTGTATATTACAATTAGATACTATTGCCTAGAGTGATATTCAGACCCATTGTTGTATATTACAATTAGATACTATTGTCTAGAGTGGTATTCAGACCCATTGTTGTATATTACAATTAGATACTATTGCCTAGAGTGGTATTCAGACCCATTGTTGTATATTACAATTACATACTGTTGCCTAGAGTGGTATTCAGACCCATTGTTGTATATTACAATTAGATACTATTGTCTAGAGTGGTATTCAGACCCATTGTTGTATATTACAATTAGATACTAGTTTAGATATTCTTTTTATATAACTATCCTACATACAACCTTGAAATGAGAAACTTTTGAATCGAACCGATTTGTTCCTCTTCGAGTGTTAGGACCAATCCAAAAATAGGCAAAACCCATCTTTTTGCATCACGTTAGATAACTAGATAATATACCTGGCAGAATGTGCTTTATCAACACCGCCCTCTACGACCATATCTTAAAACAGAGGAGATTTCTTTAAGCAGTCGGCGAAATGGGGGCTTGTTTTGCATATTTAATTAGAACCGAGAACCTCGTTTTAAAACAGCGGGAATTTCCAACATGGCGACATGAGAACATTTTCTTCATGTCAACAAATAGGAAGTGCCGTTTTTCATGCCCTTTATTGCATTCCCGATAAAAGAATATGCCATGAATGATACAACTATAAGTAGTTTTACAGGAAAACGACCCAATATGCAATAATATTAACTTTGTATTAACTAAAACTACTCACGCGTCACGCTAATTGTAATTTTCTACGTGTTTTTCAACAAAGCTAGGTGGTATACTTGTCTAAAAATACATTTTAAGATCTAGAGCCGGGGTCAAACTACGTGAATATTTTTATCAAGGTCATAATTAACTCCTGTGAAAATTTGAACTCCCTAGTTTCTTGCAGCTTCAAACGGCACAGTGTTAAACACCATGTGATGGGTAACAGGTGACTTGTGAGAGGTCAGCTTGCCAAGCTATCATTCGTTATGTGCTCAGATCAATTTATTGCAACCGATTTTTGCAGTGATTTCAATTTCTTCAATTTCAATAACCACAGTGTCATCATTTTCTTCATCAATAATTTCACGATTGTCATCTTCTTCATCTACAGATTTTTCTTTATGAATATTCATGCAGTTTAAGCAACTACATCCAGGGCCACAGAATTGATTTCTTTTGTTACATTTACAGACCTTATTTTTACAACCAGACTTTTTATATACTTGCAACCTCTGGTGTAGAAAACAACACGGTCCTCAACATTTTGTATATTTTGTGGGGTATCCCAAGTTGGTTTAATCATGCCATTTTCAACTGTGTAACCAGAATTATCATAAGGAGGAAGGACCAGGTGATGTTTATGTGCCTGTGCCCATAATTCAGAAATAAAACATGAACGATACCAATGTAATTGCAAAGCCATATTATTTGGTATAATACCCTCTTCCGTTTGCGTTCTGACTTGAATGGTATCGTGAATTTTTTTTAACCACAATATGTGTATTTCTTTCGGTGTAGAATTTGTGTTATTAATTTTAATGGTTTTGAACAAATCATATGGACTAACTATAATGCTTTTATAATAAACTGTACTAATATGACGATAAAATTAAAGCAATTCATTGTCTCTCTCATTAACCATCGTATTTGCAAGTGTACCAGGTGCCACTTTCCCACCTGTGATGAAT